ACCTCCCCTATGGTACGTGATCTTGTAAGTGAGGGTTCCCTTGAGGTAAGCAAGTAAGTGGAGCATTGCCTTCCAGTGGGCTGGTCCGGGGTTAGCCTGGAAACGTGATAATACGCTGAGGGCAAAAGCGATGTCGGGACGTGTCGCAACCTGGGCCCACATGCAGGAACCGAGGGCTTCGCGGTATGGCTTATCCTTCATGTAGTGGTGGTCTTCATCCGTTTTGGGGGAGTCAGAGTCAGAGAGGTCGATGCCTGAGGGAAGTGGAGTGGCTTTGGCGTTGCACTGTAGCATGCCGAAGCGTTCTAGGACGCGTCGAAGGTAAGCTTCTTGAGAAAGTGAGATCGTACCTGTGGTCTCATCCCTTTCGACACGTATTCCCAAAATGTACCCAAGCTCCCCCACATCTTTTATCTCAAAACACGCCTCTACTTCTTTCTTCGCCTTCTCTGCCCCTTCCTTTGTGGACGATGCGCCGAATATGTCGTCTGTGTACGTGCTGGTGAGGGTGAATTCGTTTCCGATGACGCGAGAATGTACACAGGGATCTGCAAGTGACTTGTAGTACCCCAAAGACCCATATGCGCTCAACATTTCATTTTGGAAGTCGTATCCACCTTGCATCATCCCATACAAGGTTTTGACGACCCGGAGTACCTTGTTCTCCTCCCCCTGGGCGACAAAACCGGGGGGTTGACGCATGTAGGTAGTGAACTTGTTGGTACTGTATAAGTATGCGCCCACGATGTCGACTTGCCAGATGTGAAGGTCGAGGGCAGCGGCGATGGCTGCAACGATGCAGAATGATTCCAAACGAACCACAGAGGCATAAGTCTGGTCGTAGTCGAGGCCAGGTATCTGAGTGTATCCTTTGGCCACCAGGCGTGCCTTGCACCAGATGATTTCCCCTTCGGCGTCGTATTTGTTGGCGTAGACCCACATTGAGTCAATAACATGCGCGTCGTGAGGTTTGTCGACCAGTTCAAAGGCACCCCTGTCGTTCAATGTTTGCCACTCTGTTTCCATCGCTGGTAGCCATAAGTCCGGCTGTTTTATGGCCTCCCAGTAACTCCGTGGTAATTGTGAGTCGGGGAGGGCTGTCATGAGCGCTGTCGTGTCCGTGGGCGCACCAGTGCCTAGAGTAGCCAGACGTGCAGAGCGGCAAGGTGGTACAGGTACAGGCGTTGTTGGTGTGGTCTGAGGAGTTGTGATGGGCGTCACATTGGGCATGGACTGAGGGTGGAGAGGTGGAGAGGTGATACGTGGGCGTGGGGCAAGTGGTTTAGCAGGCAGGACAATCCCAGTGGCAGATGAGTTTACTTTGGTGGGTACGGGGTCATCGTCGTTGTCGTTGTCGATGACCACAAGAGGGGGCATATCGTCGTAGGAGATAGTGCGATGGCCATGTCCTTCCTCAAAAATGACGTCCCTGCTTTTGATTGTCGTGCCTGATGCCCGATCCCAAAGTTTATAGGTGCCGCGCCCGAAGTACCCTATCAAAACGTACTTGATCGATCGAGGCGCTAGTTTCGACGTGCCTATTTCCTCTGGGATCTTGGTGTATGCCGTGCTCCCAAATGGCTGGAGATGCGACACATCCTGGCGTGTTTTTGTCCACTTTTCAGCAGGGATAATGTTGGGATGGCGAGCAGAGGGGATCAAGTTCCGGGTGTAGATTGTGAAGGCGGCGGCATCAGCCCATAGGGATGGGGGTAGTCCGGAATCTGCGATAAGGCAACATACAGTTGCGGACAACTAAAGTCAACAAATTGAGTATCTCAGGAACCAGATTTTTTGACGGAAATCTGACGACAGATCTGAAACTGGACAGGCAAAAGGAGCTCAAAAATGGTGTTTTCATGTTATTCCCACGAGTTTTTGGCTGTGCCAAAATTTTGAGCCAATTTTTTTGCATCCTACATCGCCATCTCAGCCAGTCTCTCAGGAAAATCCTGCTAATCAAGCTCATCCCCATTACTCTCTGCATATCCATCTCTTCTCCTGAATCCTCAGCTTCCCTTGCCTCATTTTTCTTGTGCAATGGATGTGACTCTCGAGATCTCGTGATCAGTTCCTCATCATCTCCCTCACTGACAGTCTGACGGCCTTGAGAAAATGATGTCACTGATGGAATGGAAATCAAAAAAGGGTTATTTTGGAGGCGTGCAAGGTTGCAATGTTTTTTAGGAGGACAGCCTCTAGGTTTAGGCAGCATAATTAGCAATTTTTTTTTAAAGGGGAGGATCTATTTTATTTTTATTCTTTTGGTGGATTCTGACAGTACTCATCAAGATCTATCCAAAAATGACTTTTTTGAGATTTTATCGATTTTTTTTGGGCCTGCGCCAAAATTTTGGACCTTTTTTCTGACAAATCTTCACTTTTGGGAAATCGGCTCGTACCATTTGAAAGATCTACTCAATTCCTGCCTATTCCGATGGTTTTCGGACTTTTAAAAAATCCCTACCGGTCTCAATAAATTGGTCTATAAATTTGTTGACTTTAGTTGTCTGCAACTGTACACCTTCCATGATAAGTCGCATCCCACGTTCTGCCACCCCATTTTGACCGTGGGCATAGGGAGCGCTAAACTCCACAGTGATGCCGTGTTTCGACATGTATTCCCTCCACTTCTCGTTGAAGAACTCAGTCCCCATATCCACCCTTATCCGTATTAACGTTTTCCCCGTCTCTCGTTCTGCCTTCACATGGAACTCGGCGAAGGCGCTTAGGGTCACGTCGCTGGATTTTGAGGAGAGGAAATAGCCCACACAGTAAGAGGACCCTCCATCGTTGAATGCCATCATATACTCTGCTCCCCCAACAGATCGTACTCGAGCTGGTCCCCACAAGTCAATATACACCCGTTCCAGCACATCTTTTTCAGGCTCCACTTCGTCATACGGGCGCGTCGTCTGCTTCCCATAGATACAGTCCTCACATTTTCCCTCAAGCCCAGTATCCCCCGTGATCATGAGTCCGTCGACCAGATCTTTCTTGGCCATGTCGACGATCGAACGAACGCCTGCATGTCCGAAACGCCGATGCCAGACTTCAAGGTTTGTGGGTTTATTTAGGGAGCATGCTACGAGAGCCTGAGTGGTGGAAGGTCGAGGTGCCACATTTAGCAGGTACATCCCGCTATTTCCAGTGCCCCTCATTAGGGTTCTCTTCTGACCTTCGTGGATGTCATAGAATGTCACACCTCCTCCACCAAAAAGTGCCCAACACTTCGCATCGTCGAGCTTGCTAATTGATATGAGGTTAGCGATGAGGTCGGGGGTGTGTACTGCATGTGTGAAGGTGATTGTGGTCCTCAATGGTCCGGATATGATGGTCTGGGTGACTGTACCATGCCCGACAATACGGAATTGACCTCCTCTGTTTGCAGATTGGCCTTCGTCAGGCCGAGATAGTGTGTGGTATGTGGAGAATGCCGAGCGGTTGACGAAGCAGTGCTTGTTCGCCGCTGAGTCCGCATAGGTTGGTACTTCTCGTTCGCCTTGCGTCGTCATAACTGTTAACGCATGTGTGATCTTCGAGACGTCCGCCTGGGGCATCTCTTTGTAGTCAGGTCCCAAATTGGATACGAGTGCGAGGGTCAATTCGGAGGAAGGTGAGGCATCTGTGAGGGCCGCTGTTACTGACGAAGTGTTCCCAGTTGGGGTATTGTTTTGGGGTAGAGATGGGCGTGCCCCTCCGCGTTGTCCGAAACCTGCAGGAAATTGTCCCTCCTTTCCCCCACCACGCCAATAGCAGTTGGCAATGGTATGTCCCCGACGTCCACAATTTGTGTTTGTACACTGAAGCTGGCTTCGTGGTCGTCTCGCATCAGTTTGCAGAGCTGTTACGACCGTAGCGGGGTTGGTGACAGACTTGGAACGGTCGATTCGGTTCCAGTGGATCGTCAAGCGGCTGATGACTTCCGCGGATGATTTTGCGTCATAGAGGGTCCCAACGACACTGTCCCATGATTCGGGAAGTGACGACAGCATGATCATGCGGAAGTCAGTGTCCGTAATTTTTGCGCCAGCATTGTTTGCAGTTGCCCACTTGGTTCGGAGGTTGGAGATGTGAGTAGGGAAGTCGTTTCCATCAGCAAAGGTGGTGTTACGAAGATCGCGCTGTGCGGTGACGGCGGCGAGGTCGGAGGAAATTTTGTATTGTGAAGTGAGTGACTTCCATGCTTCTGCGGCTGTTCCATCTAATTTAAGTCCGAGCCCGATTGCATTTTTGGTGTTGTAGAGGAGTAGCGCACGCGCCCAAGCGTCACGCATTTCCCATTCGGCCCCAGAAGGGGTAGTGGAATACCATGGGGTAGGGTCATCCGGGAGTGGGATATTCGGTGTGGTCGGCGTGTAGTTCAGGGTGTTGGATTCCTGGTAGGGAGCGGGATTGGCAATGGTTCCCTGTAGATATCCTAGAACACCACGACTGGTGGCCGCAATAATAATAAGCGTCTCGAAAGCGGCGAAGTTTGTACCATCAAACTTTTCCGTGTCTGGAAAAATAGGGGCGTTGGCGTTGGCTGACGACATATTTTGTGGGTGTGTAAAGTGGGCTTTACAAGTCGGATTTTGTGTAGTAAAGCGGGTAGGTGTCTGATAGTTCTTGTTAGAACGCAACGGGGCCCATAACCTGTTGACGTACAAAGAACTCAGAGTCAGACACTAATGTGGTGACGACTTTATATATTAGCTACCTGTTGACGTACAAAGAACTGGGTAGCGTTAGCATCTAAGTAAGTGAATGTAAATAGGAATAATACTCACCTCAGAGTCAGACACTAATGTGGTGACGACTGAGGTGAGAAGAAATAAGGTTTTTCGTATATATAGGAAAAAGAACGATTGGGTGGCTTGATGTAAAGACTGGTAAATAACGGAGGTAAAAGTAAAGGAAAAAAGATCGAGAGGGGATAAATAAAAGCGTACGCGTAAATAGAGTAGGTCACGTGGAGTCTTCTTCAACAGCTTTCAGTTCCATATCTTCCTGGAAACATGGCAGCCCTCCAAACCCAGCTGCCGGTACGGTGACACAGGCCCCGCCGACCGTGTAAAGAGGGCATGGCTACGGTTTCAAAGCTCAATGCAACTCCAGGGCCAGTTCGTCTTCCCCATATCGGCCATCACGATAGGTTACGTGCATGTTTGCAATCTGGTTTTTGTTGTTTCATGGATTAATCATATTTCTGTCAATGCAGAGCATCTGCTGTCCTCTTGACTCTTGCGAAAACCGGCGACATTGTTCAGCTTCTAGCCTTAGCGACGGTTATTCTGGCGTTCTCGGCGTTGGTTAGCTTGGCTTTCTACTCAACATCGTATGGACTTTTAGACAACAGCACTTACTGTGCCCTTGTTTTGAACGATGCAATCGTGAGTATTTGGACGTCATAACTTTTCGTTGTCTTGACTTTGGTCACTAACTGTAGAAGCCTAAGAGATCTTGTTGCGAGTGCCCAGGTAGCCGGAAACGATTCGTCTTTTTGTCTTTGGTCGCCTCACAGCTACAAGCCATTGGGTAAGTCAATTCTATGGAATTTTGCAGTGGCTCTTGAACCAATCTCATGTTAGTTCAATGGCGCTCTCCTTCTTGACGATTGCGCTTTACCATTTCAAAGTGGCGACGGACATACATATATCCCAAAAAATATTCACCAGCATCCTCGGTGGCCTGGCCGCCATTTGCGCCGTGCTCGATCTTATCCAGACTATCACTTTTCACTGCTACATCGGTGATCCCCTTCAATATTTCGAGGAGACATGGAACAAATCCTTCTTCAAGATGACGTCGAACGGCAAACAAAGGAAGCCATCAGACAACGAAGTGAAGACGTGGAAAGCAACACTGGATACATATGGTACCCGACCGTAGCTTCATCTCCTTTTCTCGTGAGACTCATTCTCTTTTTCTTGCAGCTTGAAGTGTCATTCCACTCTTTATATCTTGCGAAGCACTCTGTATTCGTTCTTTATTACATATATATGCAGTTGCACGCCTTTTTTGTTAAACGTAGACAAATTGTGAACTATGTACATATGTAGTTACTACACCACAACACCAACCGCATCAAGTCCAGCGGCCAGTCCAACCAACCCGCTCATATATCCACAGCCTCTCAACCTGTACCATGTTCAAGACGGCCCAAAATCTCCTTGACAACTCTCCCTTCCTCCCTGTGCCAGTGAGTGATGGCCAGTCTACAGTCCACCTCTCGAATCCGTTTATCACTCCCGCAAGCTTCCACTCTGATTCTGTTGTCGGATTGAAGTGAGACTCGGTGATGAGGTGCGTGAACCCTGCTTCCTTAGAGGTGAGGTATTCGAGGGAAAGGTTTTCAATTTTGTTATACGTCCACCATTCGTTGCGTTCCTTCAAATCCAAGGGGGAAGATGGAAGAAAAGGCGGGGAATTGATTTGTGAAAAGAGGGATGCACCGGTTTGAGCTGCGAGGTTGCATATGTGTACGTGTGGTGCTTCTGTATTGTTTTTATATCAGTCTGTGACGAAAAAAATAAGAGGAAGAGGGACGCACGCTTTGTAAGAGCCAGAGAGTGTAGGGAATGGAGGAGGGCAAGTGCGTGTCCGCCTGGATAATTCGCCATGGACGCGGTTGTTAAGAGAGTTGTTATGAGGATGTTGGTGAGGATGAGGAGCATAACGAAGAGGAAGGAGAGGCGGCCTAGGAGGGTTCCTTTTCTTCGGGAGACCCTGTTGGAAAAGTGAGTTTTTGTTGGGAGGGAGGAAAGCGGTGGGGAAGAAAGGAATAGCGGGGGAAACGCGAATGAATGGAGAAAATAGACGATCAAGAATGAAACGCGTACATAAAAAAAACCACATCGAAAAGGCGCTTTGAAAAAAAACCAAAAAAAAAAAAAAAAAAAAGGAAAGCGCACACGAAAACCTAAGTCAAAAAAAAAGACCACGGACATCCAAACACACCCCCTAGCGCCCGCAACGTTCCACGACGGAACCCACGTACACGATAAACCGCCACTCTTAGAGAGGAAGGCGGTGGGGAAGAAAGAGGAATAGCGTCGAAACGCGAATGAATGAACGCTCAAGAAAGAAAGAAATGCTCGCACGAAAAACCCAAACAAAAAACAAAAAAAAGGACTAACGTACATCCAAACACACCCCCTAGCACCCGCGATGTTCCAAACCGGAACGACATACGCCACAAACCGCCACTCTTTATGTCCCAACAAGCTCATAGCGCCTATAAACGCCATAGTAGGCCACAACACCCCGCGAACGCGCGGATCAGTGAAGAGGGCGAGGAGTGCGAGTGGGAGGGAGGATAGGAGGAGTTTTGGGAGGTGCGTGGTTATGTATGTGTGTAGTGGGGATGTCTATACGGGTGGTTAGTGGGGGTGGGGAAAAGGGAAGGGGAGACAAGGGAGGGAAAGGACGTACACCCCATTCGGCGCTTTTTCCTTGGAGGACGTTGAAGTATATTCCGTATAGTTCTGGCCAGAGGGGGTGGGGGGTTTGCCAGAGGTAGGTGTCGATTAGGATTGTTAGTCCTTTGAAGAACAGACGATGTGGAATAAAGGTAAAGTATAATGACACAACAGACGGACTTACCGATCGATGCCAAGCCAGCCGCCAGCCCCACCTTCACCAGCCTCCCGAAAGTGATCTGACGCGTGAGGAGGGCGTGGAGGGCTAGTGGTGCGAGGAGGAGTACGAGTTCGGCGCGGAAGGTTGTGGCGGAGAATGTTAGGAGTGTGAATGCCGTTGAGGTGCATTTTTGCGAGGGTTTTGATATAAGGAGGGCGAGGGCAATTGTTACTATTTCATTCATTCATCAATTCGACATGGAGCGGCGGGAAGAAAGAGAAACACACCAGGACCAAAAGCGAACATATTCGGAACCGTTCTACCCATCCAAAAAGGTAAATGGAACTGGGAACATGTTAGGAGTGTGAAGAAGAGGGCGGTGCGTTTGCCGAAGCGGCGAGAGATGGTGTGTCGGAGGAAGATGAGGGAGAGGGATGTTAGTGTTGATAGGACTAGGCGGACTGTTTCAGGACTTGGTGAGTGAGAGTAAGGAGGGAGGGACGGAGGGAAGACGCACTGATAATCTGGATCTCCAATTTATTGGGACCGACCCCTCGGAGGAGTGTGGATAAATGAATGAATGGAGTGGATAACCAAGCGAGGAGAATGCTTCCTATAAAAGTACGTGGGACTGCACCTGGGAAGGTGAAGTGGTCGTACTTTTATTGTAATTGTGAGTATATGCGAGGGCGGGCCGGCTGTGGGTGGGGAGAACGTACGTTATGCAACGCGTTCGGAAAAACGCCGTAAAAGAGGACGTCATGTGTAGCGTGCAAATTGAAGCTTTCTTCTACTTTTGTGTACGGAGCTAAGAGGACGTGGGTCCATGATGTTAGCAGGATTAACACGTCCTGCATGAGTAGGGAGTGAGTTGTATACTCTGTTGTATCGTCACCT